TGCAGAAGGAAACAGATGTTAACAATAATGAAAATTTTGTAACAAAATTATATTTTATGTAAAAAATTTTAAAGTATAATTATAAATGTATATTGCAAAAAATTTAAATTTAATAAATTAATATTTTATTTGAAATTATATATATTATGTGTATATTATTTATCGTTCAAATTTAAATATCTATGACAGTGATAAGTAAAAAAAATGCAGTTTTGCGAGACAATATAAATAATAATATAACAATTAAATTATCAATATAAATGCTTATTTATGAAGCATTTATATAATAAAAAATCATAAATTTACTATTGCCGTATTATAAAGGTGTTCAGATATTTATATATGTTGACGGTCGAAAAGTTTGTATCGACAATCGATAATGTTAACGTTCTCTCATTATTTACCTCCGGTTAACGTAATCGGCCGAAGGCCAGTATTTCCACCTTCTAACCGACCGTCAACTTTCGAAATATCCAACTTAAATTTTCATATTCTTAAGTTAACGGTCGGTTAGAAATTAACAGACGTTGGAAATAGTGGCCCCGATTAAAAATCCCCAGAATTATCAACAGTAAACTTCAAAAACTGTCTCGCAACAAAATAGCTACTCGAAAAAAACTACAATCTCACGTGCTTTTCAAACATTTGCAATGCTTCTACGTGGCAATAGCAATATAGATTTTTGACAGCCAAGAAATTAGGATAGAGATGATCAGTTTTAAACTTTATATACAGCGGCAATTCTTAAAATTAATTGGCCGATAAAGTTAACCGAAGATAGTAAAATCGGCCCCTCGTCAGAGAAAAGGCTTCTCTCTAGGTTGCGTTCCAATATGCACTCTCAATAAAATCTATAGTTACGTCACGTACACTAAACATTTTTAGTTAACGACAGTGAATATTGGAACCAGAAAGAAACCTGAGAGCGGCTACGCCGGCCGGCGCCGCGGCGTTTTGCTTGTTAGGGCCTGAGCAGAATGGTTGACTTATAATTTTAAGACAATATTTTATGCTTTAAATCTTTGTTTTTAGTAACGCACAATATACCTTATTGTGTCACACAAGACAAGTATTGTGTGTTACTATTATAAAAACAAAGATTTAAAACATAAAACATTTGTCTTAAAATTATGAATCAGCCATTCTGTACTTAGGCTCTTACCGTTTTACTGGACTGCTTGATATGCCACTCGCACCTATTTTCAACATTGGAACTACTTGGCATATACATTTTCTGGCACTGCCAATAAAGTCTTGGTGTATGTCCGTGCTATGCCCATAATTTTCATCTTAAGAAGCAATAATTTGTTATCAAATTGCATACATTTCTAAATCATATGATACGTATATTTAACAATTTAATTGCCACACATCTGTTATTACAATAAATATGTTAATTTATCACTCACCGACCCTGATGCGCAACCGCGGAATTATATCTGCCACGTAGCTACGTTGATTCTGTAACATACAAATATAAAATTCATATTAAAACGGTGTTTAAAAAAACCCAATATTTTAAAACATAATTTCTATGGCATCGAACTTTTTATATTCATTATTTAATTAGATATTTATTTAAATAATTATGCATTTTTTGAAAAAAATCTTTACAAGAATCAATTTTTGTAAACTATTAAATTACTCCTCTTCTTCTAACTTATTATTTCTAAATTATGGTGAAACAAAAAGGATAAACAAAAAAATACTCTTATACAAAATAAAAAATAATATTTACCGCAAAGTTGTTCCGCTGGCACCTGATGCCTCTCCCAGGCCTCCTCCTCCTCTCAGGCTGTCCTCTCGGGTTGTCAGCTCCCTTAATGCGACACTTTCCGCATTGTTTTCTTCTGAAACATGTAAATAATAAATGATTTAATATTAAATAATTCTTATGCGTATTAAACTTCTTATTTATTATTCAAGTAGACATTTTTATTTCAATAATTATACGTTTTCCGAAAAAAATATTTAGAAAAATAAGCTCTTTAACTATTTATTTTTATGAATTGTAAGATACAACTCTAGATATAAGTATCTTTTTCTGATTTCTGTTGTCTGAGTTTTATTGTCTAGAAAAAAAAAAATTTATTTCTACATTCTTTTAAGTTAACAAATTCGATATATTATTTTTAATGTATTTGAAACAAGTATAATTAATAATTTTTTAATGTATTTGGTCCTGATTTTAATTCTATTTTTATAAATAGTTAAATAATCATTACTCTCTATTTATTCTTTCTCTGTGTAACTGTGCGAGTGCAGCCTCAAGCACATTAGCACACTAAATTAATAAGTAATGCAAAACGAGTCCAAGATAAAATATCTGTCATAAACATTTATAGCCCATTTATTTTAAGATAACGGATCCATGAAGTTCTGTATTTATTTTTAGTACAATTATAATTATATGTAAATATAATCTTATACAATTTTTATTACCTTATTAATAATGTTGTTTCGTTGTTTGTCACTCATCGATCGACAGCGGAGTTGTCAGCAATAGCTACGATAATTCTGTAATACAAATATAAGATTCAATTAAAACGGCGCTCAAAAATAATCAATGATTCAAAAGATAATTGTTACATGCATAGAATTTTGTTACGGCTTTTTAATTAAATATCTATCGAAATAATTATAAATTTTTCAAAAGGATCTGTACAGGAATAAGTTTAATTTCAGATTATTTTTTTCTCTAATTATTATCTTTAAATTATTATAATAAAACAACTAATGTTACGCAAGTAAGCAATAATGCTTACCGCAAGGTTGTTCCGCCGGCACATCGATAGTTCTCATCATAGACCTCCTCATTTTCCTCTCGAGTTCTATCATCCAGACCCTCTTTTTTACTTGCATTACACAATAGACGAGTTATACATATACAAGATGACTGATCTGTGACATACGAAAAAATTCAAATAAAAATAATGTCTAAAATAAATATATGGAAGAACAACTTTATACTCAAGTATTACTTTATTCGTAATTTAAATAAATATTTTATAAAAAAATAAGGTCTTAATAAAAAATGTTTTTTTTAGATATCAACTATGTTTTTTTTAGATATATTTTAAACTATTATAAATTTTAATTATTTAGAAATATTTTAGATATATTAGCAATTAATAATTTATACATATTTATTAATAATAATTATGTCCATAAATAATTTATTAAATATTACAAAAATCTCAAAATATGATCCAAGATATTTTATTTATTAAACAATGTATTAAACATGCAATACATTATTATATTACACAGTGATCTGAAAACAATACTGCGAATAAATATTTATTCTTATCAGTAACAATTAATAGAAGATTATAGATTATGAAATGCTCACCTCACTATTTAATTGTTACATATTGGTCCTCGCTTCCTTCGGCTCTTCTCTTCATTCCGCATTGTTATTCCTTCGGCACTCACATCTGTTTCCTGAAACAAATAATTGCAATTGAACGCGATTAAAGTAATCACTACAATACAATCATCGCATAGATTTGCATCATATACTTTGTATGATACTCTCGACATATTAATCACACGCGACGCGTACTTAATTATATTGCGACAGCGGAGAAATAAATGTAGAAGAAATTATGGCACATTCGATATATATCAACGATATTTCAAATAAAAGTGCTACGAAATGTATATCTGTGTAAGATGACGTAAAAGGTTTTTCGGGTGCTAAAAAAGCGATGCGGCGTCACTAGATTGATTCGCGCGATAGATATTACAATAGGTCGAACAATAAAGGCTTTCGAAATACGCATTCGAACGGATTATCATATTAATATCCGAGCGCCGAATCTATACTTCGCGATAGATATTGCAATAAATGTAAAATGCAAAGTTAATGCATGTTACATACTTACCAATTAAATAAGTCATGCCACTCGTTCCGGAACCGATCCGTCTCCGTCTCGTATTCGTCGCGTTCTGGAAAAGGAAAACGTAATTAATATATGGCGGTGGCGCTTCGTTTCTCGCGCGCGGTCAACTTCTCACGCCGATAGGCGCGCCGCGGCGCGCGGCGTCGCTACACTCGCTACACATCCCAGCATCCCACTCTCACCTTTGTGATCATGAATTTTCCAAACTTAAAAATCAAATATTACAAGCTCGCCTATTATTACGATTGTGTCGATTGTTATTTTACATATTTTCTAGCGAATAGCGTGCAAATATTCGCGACACTCAAAAATGCGATCGTCACTTTCGCGATATTGCTCGCGCGACGCGATGCGCGCCTTCGGCCGAACAAATACCGCGGAACACGTACGTATTTTCAGGAAATATCAACACCCGAGCTCTAAATCTATACTGCGCGATAGATACCGCAGTGAATATAACGCATACAAGGTTAATATGTGTTATACTTACCGATTAAAATGAGCCGCGACGCCACTCGTTCGGGAGCCGATCCGTTCCGTGTCAGCCGCCTTCTGGAAATGGAAGGAGAACGTAATCAATATGGCGGCGGCTTCGTTTCCGCGCGGGCAACTTCACGCGCCAAAAAAGTGCCCGCGCCGCGCGCGGCGTCACTATATAATACGCGTCCCGTTTTTACTTTCGCGTTTTCTCATTTCAGCAATAAATGCTATACGCTTGCTTCATATATAGCAGTCATTTTTTT